CCCAGCAGATATTTTGGTGCCAATCTATCTATATGACAAAGGCTGGGCCATCTTATCTACAACACAAAACACATGGCCCTCAGGACATGATAGGATTAGCCCTCCTACTTCCAGGCCTGGGACTCCAAACAACCTACAAAGTTACCCCTGCATGGCCCCATGGGAGTCTGACAACCAATCAGAGTACATTTCTTACACAGGAACAGGAAGCTCCAAGGCAGGGCCCAAGAAAGGGTATAAAATCTCTCTTCCTCTCTCACCCATGTGCTGTTTTTTGCCCAGGACCTCAAACCATGTGGTCCTGTCCACCATTAAAGCATTGTTCCAAACAGTCTCCATGTTTCCAGTGTCTTTCTTCCTACTTGGAATTGAACCCAGATGGACATTTCTTCCAACAATTCATTAAGGCTTAATATACTTATTTTATATTCCAATCATGTGAAACATACAAAAAGCAAAGCAAAACAAAGCCAAAAAGAAAATTTAAATGTCTACATTTTTAATCTATCTTTCAATTACATCACTTTATGCCATTCACTTGAATGTGGAGGGTGTTAGACTATGCCTGATTACTAAATGTAACTTGTAAACATTGACCTATGGTTGCCATTTCATCTCAAACCTATGACCAGCTTTTTGGGGGGATGTTCTATAATAAGTTTATACGTATCTTTTGACAAGCAGTCTATTGAATTGCCTAAATAAATACTCCAATAGCAATTACTTCTTAAAATTAAAAGAAGCATCTTATCCCAAGAGATTCATAAAGCTTCCCGTTTTTTCTAGAAAATCTTAAAAAGCAGTTTTAGGTCATCCAACAATCAACCCCATTGTGCTTATCGTGGAGAAGAGAAAGCAATTACTCATTTATTAATTACTATTTTAAATAACTTGTTGTATTATCATTACTTTTATCATCTTAAAATTTTCTAACCCCCTCCCATTCTCCAGCCCTTTGATTTGGGTGAGCTATAACAACTATGAAATGCATTTATCCATCCATCTACTTGGAAGAAACTTGGAAACTTAACATGAATTTTAATTCTCCATTTTTTTCAATGTGGCCATAATGGTACACAAAGTGCTATTTCTATATATTCACCCAACAATTCTGTAAGATAAACTGTGAGGGAATGGTTGAGGGTCATTTAAAGATTCTCTCTCCCATATATCTCAGCGCCTCAATTTTTGATATGGTGATTAGTAGCTGGGCTTCTTTGTGACAAAGTTGCAATTATAAAAGTCTGACCTGAAAGAAATATGGCTAATCAAAGTGCAATATTGTTTTAATCAATTAAAAACAGTTCTGTCACCATTATTTATTTATTTATTTATTTATTTATTTATTTATTTATTTATTTATTTATTTATTATATTTCTATATCGCCTTTCTCCCGTAGGACTCAAGGCGGTGTACGGTCAAGAAAAATATAGATACACAAAACATCATAAAATTGCTAATTAAAATTATTATTATAACATAGCTTGGCCTAATTAAATAGAACCTAAAATTAGATAACATTTTAAAAACATTCACATGTTCATATGTTTAGCCCCGCTTGTTGGAACATCAGGGTTTTGAGGGCATGGCGGAAAGCACGGAGATCAGGGATATTTCGTAACTCAGGGGGCAGTTCATTCCAAAGGGTTGGAGCCCTCACAGAGAAGGCCCTCCCCCTGGGAGTCGCCAGTCGGCATAATTTGACTGACGGTACCCTGAGTAGTCCCTCCCTGTGAGAACGAACTGGTCGGTGGGAGGCTATTGGTGGAAAAAGACGGTCTCGTAGGTACCCATTATGTATTTTCAAGGTTGCAATTGTTCCAGGACCAGAGTTTTTCAAAACACGAACTCTTTTGAAAAATAATTAAAACAAAATAAAATACAATTACTTATCAAAATTTTATTGAACATTTTAATTGGTTGTGTTCATGGAACTGAACATTGGAGGAAATGAGGACATCATCAACATCCTTATCTACTATGCCATACAGATTGAATTAATCAGGCTAAAACTATTTCTTGACAACTGCAAATCTGGAAATTGATTTTTAAAATATTGTTTTAATAGAATTACTTATATTTCTGAATATGAAACATTGTTATCCTCCAATGAGTAAATTAAACTATTCAAATGTCAACTTCCTGGCCTCCCCTGTCCTTATATAATTACAATACAACAATATGACAAATGATGTAAACTTGTCACATGTCGTAATTCAGTTTTCATTCCATACTTCTTAAATCTGTTGCCCTCCAAATCAGTTGTGGTGTGTTCTCGAGCAGACGATGAATTACAGAGGTGGATTATAACAATAAGTATTTATTTACCTCACAGATACAGCTCTAACACAATTCAGAAGAAGTACAATACGAAGAACCTCGAACTCAGCCTGACAGCTCTTTTATACCAACTGTCAGACGGCTTAATCAATAGGAACATCCAACATTATAAAGGATCCCCACAGGGGCCAATTCTCTTGAGCATGCTCAGAACACAACACCCCTTTCCGCTGGAATGGTGCATGCATAATCCTCGAGGTATGCGGGTCGATGTCGGAGATGCCCTGAGCGCCTCGGGCTCGCCCTAGGCAGGTGTTCTGGCTGGACAGGGACATTCCTACCCCTAGGACTTTCCACAGACCGATCTTCAACTGGATCAACATGCGCTGGCCCTGGACTGTCTTCCTGTACCCTGGGTGAGTATTCTCGAACTGCCCCTCTGCTACTGGTAGGTGTTGGATTGCACGGTTCATTATTCCAATCGGAAGAATGGGTGTCCCCAAACCCCGGCTCAACCCTATCCATACCCCTGTCCGTCTGTTCACTAAGCTCGGTAGGCGGCACCTTCCTAGCCCTGATTTGATCCTGGTGCCAATGCCAGACTCTACCTTGACCCATATCTATTTTATAAGAACATGGCCCGGTTACATCTATCACCCGTCCGGGAATCCACAACGGTGAACCCCCATAATTCCTGGCATAAACTGAATCCCCCACCCCGAAGGGTCTGGTTGTACTATGGGAGTCCAGAGGTTTACTAGGGGCATATAGAGGATGCAAGCGATCCAAAACGGTCCGTAAACGCCGGCCCATAAGTAACTCTGCGGGGCTCCGGTTCGTGACCGGGCAGGGTGTCGTGTGCTGCACTATCATATACTCAACCAAACGCTCCGGCCGTGCACCCGGGCCTATACGGCCAAGCGCATCCTTTGCTGATCGATTAAGAACCCCAAAAATTCAACTTGAGGTACAGCAATGCTATACTTAGATTTCTTAACTTTGAGTCCTACACTCCTAAATTTGGACAGGACACAACGAAGGCGGTCCATCAGCTGAGATGTGCTGGTTGCAGAGACCAGCACATCGTCAAAATATGGTAGCACTCCGGGAATTCCATGGAGGAGCCTCTCCATCAAACTTTGGAAAATTCCCGGGGCTACGCTCACGCCAAATTGCAAGCGGCGGCATCGGAAGGCTCCCCGATGCGTGACAATGGTCTGTGCAGTGGCCGTCTCATCATCCACAGGCAACTGCTGGTATGCCTGTGCTAAATCTAACTTGGCAAAGACTGACCCGCTTCCCAAGGAATGTAGCAAATGCTGCACTACCGGAACGGGATAAGCATGTGACAACAATGCCTGATTAATAGTAGCCCGGTAGTCTGCACAGATTCGGATTGGACCATCCGCCTTAATGGCGATGATGGTTGGGGTCTCCCAGGGGGCGTAATCAACAGGTTCTAGGACGCCCTGTGCAATGAGTTTGTCCAATTCTGTGTCCACCTTTGGACGCAACGCCAAGGGAACATGGCGTGGTTTTAGTCTTCGCGGTTGGACCTGGGGATCCAAACTACAAGTTGGGAGTTACAACTTTTATAATTCCCAGTTCAATATGATCCAAGATGTTTTTAAGTGATGAAAATTGTAGACATCTGTAATATTCTGTTCAGGAAAAGCTGCTTTAGAGTATAAAAAAGTTTATTTTGAGTGTAGCATAAACTGTTCCATCAGATTCTGAACAGAACCAAGTTATTAAATCCTTTTGTATGGTAACAACCCCTTATGTTAAAAATATACATTTAGTTTATTATATTACCCATTGATATAAATTATTTTTTAAATACAAATAAAAGAGCAGTTTATTTCTAGTATTCTTGGTTTTTTTTAATTAGGTTAAATTCTCAATAATTTAAGGCCCTTTGAAGCCCAGTTCCTTTTCTTGAATGTTAAAGTGAATGTTTTAATGCCTCTATTAACACTTATTCATGAGTCATTGCCTTGCCAACACTCAAGATAAGAAATGCTGTGATGTTTTAAAACTTTCCAATCAAGCCCAGGTTCATACCAGCAGAAAGAGCACTTATCATTCAACTGCTATTGAATGACCTGTATTTAGATGTTGAATAATTTAAATTTTGCAGGATCCAATCTGATTAGGTCACCAGGACCAGAGTTTTGGTCTATAAGCTTTTGGACTCCTGCTGGATCTCATCCTCGGGGAACTTTTTTCTCTCCAGAATGTGTACGCTGGACTGTTCCATGTGTAGTATTTATGTGGTGCCTGGTTTTGTGTGTCTTAAAATTCAAATCTTTACTAAAATCAATATATTGATTAGATCATTAAGATTGACTGGACCTTCAGTTTCCCTGTCACCTTCTTTGTGCGCACGTTTGGTACGTTTGCACAAGAGGATCTGAGTTTCTTCCTTTGGCTTGAGATGGCTCCGCGGCTTTTGTTCGAGCAGCATTTGCCTGCAAAACGTTCCGTCCGATCGCCGCCCCCCCTTCCCCGGCCAGAAGTAAACTTCCCTTGGGCGCCCCCGTCTTTCCCCAGTCAATCCGCCCCGCCCCGCCGTTTTGTTGTTATCACATGGCAGGGGGCGGACTCGGCCGGTCAGGGCAGGCGCTGGGAAGCGGCAGAAAGTTTGGCGAACGAGTAGAGTTGGTTGGACGGTGAGGAGACTTGGCCGCAGATTTGCTGGGGTGGGGGGGTGGGGGAGGGAATGAAACGACACCTCCCAGCGCCCTGAGAGTGGCAGATCCCTGCCTTGACTTCACTCCGTTCGCCCAGCCCGAAAGCCCCAGGTGCTGAACGCGCGAGGGGCTTCGGACATGGGTTCCTGTGTGTACCGCTGGGTGCTACAGCCGCCGCCGCCACTTTTAGGACTCCTGCTCTTCTGCTGCAGTCTATTCTTCTCAGGACTGGCCCAAGAATGCCCGGCTCCTTGCCGCTGTCTGGGGGAACGACTGGATTGCAGCCGCCTCAGACTGAGAGAACTCCCCGTGCTGTTTCCCAGCAGGACGGTACAGCTGTGAGTACAGGCGCTTTTCTGCTGTGGGGGGTGGGGTGGGCACTGGCAACGAGTCTGAGGCGCGGATCTCCGGTGCTAGGAGGTGCTCAGGGTTTCCCTGCTGAGCCCCCTAAATAGAGGCGCTGGAGAGGATACTAGAACTAAGTCTTCAGCACTATGGTTCCCTTCCCCATAAACGTCTCCGCTTTCCATCTCTCCGGTCGACTTCTGCAGCCTGATCCTGGCTTCTGAGCTGTGTGGATGGAGACTATAGGTCAGTGATGGCTAACCTTTTTGCCATTGCGTGCCAAAAGCGGGGGGAAGTTGCCTGTGTGTGTGCCCACACCCATAATTCTATGCACCCTGCCCCCTGCACATTCATGCATGCCGCCCTGGGCTCCCCCCGCTTTTGGCACACGATGGCCCGGTGGGCCCAGTAGGCCCATTTTATGCTCCCCCCAGACTCCTAGAGAAGGCAAAAACGGCCTTCCCTACCCCCCTGGAGGCCCTCTGGAGGCTGGAAACGGCCTGTTTGCCAACTTCTGGTGGGACCTCATGTGCCCACCAATATGGCTCCAAGTGCCACCTGCGGCACGCGTGCCATAGGTTCGCCATCATGGCTATAGGTCATTGATTGGAGATAATTTTGTAGAGTTGTCCTTCACCTTTCTGGCCCTTAAGACTGGATTTACACAACTAGGCTAAGATTCAGCCCTTTGTGTGCACCCTTGTGGATAGTTTATGGACAGTTTATCTGTTCTGCAAGGCCTGACAATATGATTGATTTAGCAAACCAGAACATTTTAATCCAGTCTAGTGTTGTCTTGGTACTTCCTGTTGCAGGGAGAAAGTTGATGGGGAACAATCCTAGCTGCTGATTCGCAGTAGCATCAATAGAATTGGCAGTTAAGCCATCCCATTTAGACTCCAAGCATGTTGAAAGGTAACAGTTCCCATAATTCTTATCCATCACCTGGAAGCAGTTCAGTTACTCACTTATATACTTCTCATTTAGGCATCATATAAATGGTCCTTTCACTCAAAGGTAGGCAAGCAGTTAAGATGTGAAACAACCTCTGATACTATGGTATCTCCTATTGTGTGTAAATGGAGCTGGAATTTACTTATTTTGTGCCTCTCAATAGTTCTGCGGAAAGGGGATGGCCCAGGTGGTCTGGCAAAGCTTTTTTACTCTTAGGGACACCATGGAAGTTGGGGCTTGAACCAGTCCCCCAATTGTTTTGTGTCTAGAAAGAAAGAGCAAGTCAATGATCAAGGGAAGGCTTTCCTTTTCTCAGTTTGAAAAATGAAAGGCAGTAATGGTGACAGTTTCTACTGACATCTGATTGCCTGGGTTGGGGCAGTTATTTAGAACTCTATCGCCATGAATACATAGAAGGAAAAGATAGAGGAATGAAAACAAAGAGTTGCTCCTTGCAGTTGTGATTTGTTGGTTTGTGCTGCCTCTGGCTGAGTTGGAAAAAGAGTTAGAAATTGTTAGCTTAAAAGTAGAAAACAAATCTACTAACTGAAGGAAGCCAGAATCTCCCAAAGGACCTTAAATCCTGCATACCCCCCTCTTTCTAGAGCCAAGGCCTTGGAGATGCATCAATATCTGAATACTCCAGGAAAAGGTCTTGCCATTTTTATACATTGTAATGGTCTTTTGAATGGGGAATAGATGTTGTTGTTTAGATAACTGAGGAAAAAATATAGATTTATATATGATTATTGAAATGTGGATTGTAGGCCAGTGTTGAGTCTACATCTATTCCAGTAGAAAGATGATAGTGTTACTCTTGCATCTTTTTTTTCCTGTTAGGGTTTCATCTTTTAAGAAATGTTTTTTTAAAAAATGTTTTGCAAAACCCTAAAATGGGAGATACCTTGATAAAGAAGTCTGTTCATGCAACTCTGAAGAAGGCACATGAATTTCCCTCAACTTTGTATACTCAACGTAAATGCAATTTATATATCACATATAGTTAATATACATAGGTAGCTAAGGATTGTGGTAATTGTAATACAAAATACCAGTACTAGAATTCATGAGGGCAGAGAAAATTAGTCTAGCTGTTTACAAGTGTTGGTCTGTCTCTGTATTGGAAATATGGTTCCAAACTTGAATAAGATAAGATTATATATGTTGATCTTCTGATGTGTTGCACCAGAACATGTAGGAAATGAGAAAGGAGTAACCAACTTAGCCTTTCAAGTAAAAGCAAAAAAAAAAATGCTCATTTGTATGATACATAACAATTACCGTGTTTCCCTGAAACTAAGACCTCTCCGGATAATAAACCTAATTGGGCTTTTGAGCGCATGCACTAAAATAAATCCTCCCCCCAAAATAAGGCCTTTGAAGTGCCTGCGCAGCCGGTCCTTGCCATTTTCTCGGGGGGGGGGGAAGGGGACAACATCCCACACGCACCTGCCTCCATGCAGAATGGCCTTGCGGAGGCCGCTACCGCAAATCCTAGCTACTGCACCCTTTCTCTTAGTGGCGGCTGCAAAAAGAGCGGCAGGCCCAGCAATGCACCTCGCGCCCTCCTTTTACCTACAGTAACAGTGCGATGGTCACAGCAGGCCATCCCACTGTTCATGAAGCAGCTGCTTCGCTGGTGCCGCTCAAGCCTCCGCCTCCAGCAACCGTGGCCGCTTTTGCAGCTGCAAAAAACACAGGAGGTCCAGCGATGCGCCCCATGTGTTTCTGACCTCCTCGTTGCTTCCCATGCAAACAGCATGAGGTGAAGCGAGGTGGAAAAAGCGGGGAGGAACATGCCCCACGCACCCCACACGCACCTGCCATTCACACAGAATGGCCTCATGGAGGCCGCTACAGCAAAACCTAGTTACCGCGCCCCTTCTCTTAGTGGCGGCCGCAAAAAGAGTGGCAGGACCAGCACTCTTGCCAGCCCTAGCCCTGTTGACCCGCGACTGGGGGGGAGGGGACTGGTGCCAGAGCTCTGAGCAGCGGCTGGTGCGGGCGCTGTCTGCACAGCCATGAAGCGGGATCGGCGTGGCCAGTTCTTGCCCACAGCATTGCCGGCTATGATAGGGTCAGAGCCACTGCTGGCCAATATCAGCAGGCCAGATTCGGTGACCTGGATGCATTGCCACCACTCAGGAGGAAGAGAGAGAGAGGAGGCGCTGCGAGAGACCCCATTTCTCACATTCTTTTCCTCTGTGGTGTGTTCAGCTCACCAAATCTGGCCTGCTGATCTCGGCCAGCGAGGGGGAGTGGTAGGTGGGGGTGGCAGGTGGGGAGGGGTGGGCGGGAGAGAAATGAGACGGGGCTCCTCTTTCCATCCCTTCTCCCCCACTTGCTGGGCATGGCAGGGCTTCCTGTTCCTCGCTTAGCCACCCGCCCCCTTTATTGATGCAAGTTGGAGGTGGCAGGTGGGGAGGGGTGGGGCGGGGAGAAACGAGACGCGTGTCTTACCTGACTTCCAGCTCTGTTGCATTTCTTGCCATTGTGTGCAGGGAAACAAGTTGTGCCGTAAAAAAAAAAACTTCTCGCAAATTCAATCAATTAATTCCAACTTCTCGAACTCGTGAGACTTTTTTTTTACAACTTGTTTCCCTGCACACAATGGTGAGAAACGTGACGGAGCTAGAAGTCAGGTAAGACACACATCTTGCTTCTCCCCTGCCCCACCGCTCCCCACCTGCCACCCCCAAATTGCATCGATAAAGGGGGCGGATGGCTAAGCGAGGGGCAGGAAGCCCTGACATGCCCGGCGAGGGGAGAAGAGATGGCAAGAGGAGCCCCATCTTGCTCCATGTGTCTCGCTTCTCCCCTGCCCCACCCCTCCCCACCTGCCACCCCACTTGATAAAAAGACGGCGGGGAAGGGAAACAGCCAGGCTGTTGTTGGGGCGCATGGAGCAAGATGGGGCTCATCTTGCTGTCTTACCTGACTTCCAGCTCCATCGTGTTTCTCGCCATTGTGTGCAGGGAAACAAGTTGTACCGTAAAAATAACATTCTCGCGAGTTCAATCAATTAATTCCAACTTCTCAAACTTGCAATAAGTTTTTTTTTCAGTACAACTTGTTTCCCTGCACACAATGGCGAGAAACACGATGGAGCTGGAAGTCAGGTAACATGGCAAGAGGAGCCCCATCTTGTTCCACGCGCCCCAAAATAATAAGGCCTCCCTGAAAATAAGGCCAAGCGCTTATTTCAGGGTTCAAAAAAATATAAGACAGGGTCTTGTTTATGGGGAAACATGGTAAGAAATCTATTATTGCATACACTTTAAACTGGAATATAATTTTTAACTTAGTAATTCACTTGTTAGTCTTTAAGGTGCCAGAAACTCTATTATTTGATTTGGATGTTATCTAGTGGCAGATTAAAATAACTATTTGGCAAGAGTTGCTTATCGTTTGAAAACTAAAGGGCAAATCTAAATTAGGGCCAGTACAAATTTTTAGAAGCAATAAGATCAAGAATACCTAATGTAAGGGAGAAAATAAATGCTATATTCACATGGATTTATTGTGAACACCATGACTGTTAATCAGCAGTTGTGGACAATGGGAGCTGAAATCTAAAAATATTAATTTTCTCCCTATTTCTGATACAGAAAAAAATTCTATTTGCATTTAAACTAACTGGGTCCAGTATGGTTCCTGAGCAACAATCTTGCATGCTGAGAACTGTATGGGAAAAGTAAAGGATTCTAAATAATTTTTGTCCATGTGATATTATTTAATTGCTCTATTAGTTTCTGTAATACACTACGCACCCTCTCCTTCTGACTTAGATTTCTGTTAAGAATGGGATAAATTAATATGTCTATATTTCCTTGAGGGATGGACACAATAATTTTGATATTGTTTAATTCTGTAGGGATTTCTTATACAAAGGGCCTGGTGGCTCAGCAGACTGATAGCATTGTGATTAACACCAGCTGTCTGCAATTACTGTAAATTCAAATTTCACCAGGCTCAAGGTTGACTCAGCCTTCCATCCTTTCTAAGATAGGTAAATTGAGTACCCAGTTTGTGGGGGCAA